CATGTACTCCTAGATCTGCTCCTGTGACAGAAAGTGCTAGACCCTCATTTGCAATGCCCTCAATGTCATCACCAGTATCTATGTGCAATTAAGTTACAAAGCTACATATATAAGTAAATTGTAGTAATATGAAATAAGTGGTCTTAATAGTAAATAACTTAAAATTCTCTCATCTACACCCTCGGGCACCTATCTTTGTTGTAGAGCACGTTGTTGGTGTTCATCAAGTGGAGGCATAGTTTGATTTATTATCCATCTTTTAGTAATCCCCAATACTACCCGATGCAATTTGATTCCTAAAGAGGAGGATCAATCTGCTCCATGATACTCAGATATCGATCAGTCCATCTATGTATGCACTGATAATGCACATTTGTCCAGTTTATTTGATGACTGCATTTCTTAGCCTTTCTCTCTATTCTTTCAACTTTTTTGTAGAATGTCTTGTGCTAAACTAAACTATCTACGCACGTGATCCAGCATATACATCTCCATAATCTCAAAGAATATGAGAGGAACCCTTGCGGTCCATATAACTTGATCCTCCATACAAATTGGTGGTAGATGAGCTAGGTGATCACCATATGGCTGCCACTCTAACTGGAAAATATTCCATATATTAGTATCTCTTTGAAATTTGGTGGCAGATTAAATTTTCTTAAAGTAAAATTTGATACCTTATGACTCTTTATGGGATCAAGTTCCTTTCTGTAAAAGTCTAACTATCTTGCTAGGTCTCATCGTAGTACTTTTAGATATTCCATCTATGTGAATGATCAAATTTTAGCACCCAATACCACAACTATAATTCTACATCATGTCTGCATTAGTTAGATAGTGTTTACCTGCAACCTTATGGAATTTGTCCATCTAAAGCTTGTGTCTCGCATAATCTTAGTTTCAAAAACAAGTCTCTTTGACACCCAACTTGCAATAAAGTTGGACACCCCTTGAACTCTTTATTTTGTCTAAAAACCACCTTGAACCCTTCTATATATATATGCTAAAATAGCAATATCCCATGATATGTCTAAAAACCAATGGTTTCTTATTCTCAAATAGACCTCTTTTTTAAAAGTGAAATCCTCGGGTCGTTTAAAATTAGAACCAATATCAAACACAGCTTGTGAGGTATTTAGTCGCTCCTCATTTTGAAACTCTTATGTTAACAATTCTTCAGACTCCACATAATCGTTATTTACACAAAGTTCATCCATGCAATAGATGTCCTCATTGATGCCTCCAACAACACATTGCATGCTATCAAGTTGCTCCTCTTCTTCAACATATTCAGAATCATCATCTGCATCTTTTTCTAACAGAACCAACTAGTAAATTACCTAAAACATGACCTAAAGAGAACATATCACTTGACTTGAATATTGTAGTTGAGTCTGTGCCACTTCACTTTAGTCATTTTCTAAGTGCATGGCACTAGGAGATAAATTAATTCGCTCAAGTTATTTTCTATATCAAGCATTCCAGACAACTCCCTCAGAGCATTCAAAACATGGGCGACATTAAAAATTAGAAAATTTTCAATGAACAACTCAATTGAGATTTGCTTTTCAGAGAGTTGTATCATGTCAGTCAATTCTTGAACGTAGATGATCTCTATAGCCATTGTTCTTTTCTCATTTATCGGATAGTTATAGAACACCTTAGTTGCATACTCTCTATAGTTAATTCTAGTAACTCTGTGCATTTCGTACGTTCATCATTCCATTGAAGTTGCACATTTTATATAACATAAATATTTTTCTAGATCCTCCCTCATATATAGACATATTATTCATCTCAACACTCAGTCTTCTATTGAAGAAGCAAATAAAGGTATTTCCTGCGTCATTAGATCTGAAATATTAACATTTATCATATGCAAATTATTTATTACACTTCATAAATAAAATTTTATATATAATGTTTCAAGTTAAAACCGCAATTGAAAAACCCTCTATATCAAATTTAATCTACCATTTCTAATTATGTCCTAATTGTAACCAAACTATATTGTTTACCAAAATTAAAATAAAATTATTTAAAATATAGGGTTGTTTTCATACTATAGTTGGAACTAATAAAATATCCAAAATTAGAAAATTTCACATTGATTAGGAGTTGAAGTTCGTCGGTATCAGAGAGGTTAGACGGCATCGGAGTTCAACAGCACTGGAGAGAACTGAGATAGGCGGCATCACTTGGTGTTGTAGTGAATCAAGAGAGAAATTTGAAGGAGGAGGCTCAATTTGGATTTGGAGAGAATGAGAGAGAGAAAATTGATGTAAAAGGAGGTGATGTGGGAGAGGATGAACGGGGTGGGGGAGAGAGATCGAGAAAGACTTAAGGGAGAGATCAGGAGAGAGTTGGGGGAGAGATTGGGAGAGACTTGAGAAAGAGTGCAAAGAGAGATCACATAAATGAGAGAGAGATGGGTGGGATCGAGTGTCTGGTGTGCCCTAATTTTTGGATTCCACAGCTTATTCCCCTTAGTACTATGCACAGAAGGGAGGAGCCATAATGAAAATCTCACATACGATTCTGGAACGGAGATTTTTTGAATAAAATGAATGGCCGTAATGGATGTCAGCTCAATCGGAAGGAAATTATGCGTAAGCTTTACAGAATTATTATGAAGCTATGCAACTAGAAATTGATTCTTATGATCGAAGTTATATACTCTATAACATAGGACTTATACACACAAGCAACAGAGAGCATACAATGGCTTTGGAATATTATTTTCGAGCACTAGAACGAAACCCATTCTTACTATAAGCTTTTAATAATATGGCCGTGATCTATCATTAGTGCGACTATCTTCACTATAGAAAGAAGGAAAAATATCAAATTAGCTAGTCAATACTAGAAAATAATAAATAGGCTTTCTACACATGCATTATCCAAAACAATAATTTTTATCTGCTGGAGCAAAGAAAAATGCTTTATGATAACATACAAAAGGAAGAAATAAGTACGACCTACATACTATCCTCTATGGATGAAGAAATAAAGTATCAAATTGATAAGAAAGCACCGTAAAGATCAATTAGCGAGCTTTTGGGTCGATATAGTTAAGAACCGCTTGATTATTCATGATATGGGATATAAAGTTAGGAATCGACTTGTGTAATAGAGTTGATCCACTAAAGTATTGAGCAGCGGTGTGGGTGCATATACCCCCAATAAATACACGGGACTACTAGTCCTATGCATTTTTTGGGGGACACGTATCTCTTTGTTCAATACACGGAACTGGTAGGCCTATGTATATACATTTAGGGGATGATAGGTCTCTGTTATTCACATGGAACTACTAGTGCTGTGTACTTTCGATAGAAGTTTAATATCTTGATTAACGTTCGCTAAACACACTGAACTACTCGTCCTGTGTATTTTAAATATTAAAATTTTACAAAATCAACCTCTTTTTAGCTAGCCTTAATGAGGCGACTAAAAAGATGTCGATTTTGCTAATTATTTAGCAAAAAAACCGTTTTTGCTAATTATTTTTCAAAAAGTATCCTTTTAAAAAAACTCCCCTTTGGTAAATTATCATTCATTTTACTTTAGCCCAACCATGATTTAAGTATTTTAATAGAAAACCTAACAGAGGGACTAATATCAATAACTTAATGCAATTTGAGGGATTAATATCAAAATAGCTCAGATATGAGGGACTAGTATCAAAATAGCTCAGATGTAAGAGACTAACATCTAAAAAACCCAAAGAAGAAAATGAAGAGGGGGAAAAAGATATTATTGGTGGTGAATTGAATATCAATAAATCCTCCGCACAAAATTAGTGCTACACGAAAATCAGCATTGCATTTTCTCTCCTGCTGTTCTTGTGGCAGCAAAAGCTGTAGCTAATCCTGAGAAGAGGATTATGGCTCTTCTCTACTCATCCCCCTCTATGGTAAGCGTCCAGTACCGTCCTCTCTCTTTACTTTCAATGTTAAAAATATTTCATTTCCCCAATTATTGATTCATGCTCTCAATTGTCTCCAGCTAGTGAGCAAGAGATTCCCACCTCCTGTCTCCCCCTCTACTTGCAAAAGAAGTTCAAGAACAAATTCCAGTATTAAGGCCTTCTTCAATCCCTTTGAGGATCAGCCAATCCTCAAGGATGCCATCAAGGTGAAAAAAACCCACATCTTCATTTTTCGTCTGGGATTTTCCCCTTTGCCCATGAGTTGAAATGACCAAATTGCCGTTTCAGGAGCCTGTAGCCTTCATGGGTGGAGTGTTTGCTGGCCTCTTGAGGCTTGATTTGAATGAGGATCCCCTCAGGGAGTGGATTACGAAGACGGTCGAAGCATCGGGGTTGTCCGCCGAGGAGTTGGAGAGGACCCAGGAGTCGGGGATTGGAGAGGAGGAAGATGAAGGGCCGCAACAGATTGAGATCGAGTGACCAAGTCAGTTTCCTGTGTGAATTGCCTTTTTGATATTTTAGTTTTTTAGTGTATTAATTTGTGTATTTAAATTTACTAGACTGAGATGAATAGACAAATAAATGGTTTTTAGGGGCTTATCTAATTAAATGGATTTTGATTGAGAAGGTTCAGATGAATTAAATTGTTCTTCGTAGAGAAATCTGAAAAAGACCAAGAGATGAAACTTCAGGCTTGGTTTATATTTCTACCTGAAAAGCGCTATATACACTGAGGGTACATATGCATTGTGGTTATAATAATAGTAAATTGGAATGAGTGTAACTGTTCAGTGTAGTGGCATGAATTTATAAGGCTAGAACTCTCAGAAGAAGATAATATCTCGAATACACGAACAGTGATAATCCATATCTTTCGTGTTAAAATTTTCTTAGTATCAAGTATGAAAAATTCATGAAGATTTGTCACGAACTCCTAAGGTATTTGAAAGTACTGGGATATCAAATCTCAGATTTGGGTTCACCAATGAGTCGTTGCTACATGGCTCATATGAGCCAGGAGCATTCCATGTTGCATGTACTTGTCAATTCCAAATGGGGCTACTTTTCCTCACATGACGTGAGGTAAGACACGCATATCAAGTTACATTTGGCTCGTATTTGTTCAAGCCAAAACAAATTATTTTTCATCTGAATGGTGGATTGAGCTTATGAACATATCCTTTGTATAGGCCCAGTGACACGCTATATTATCTGGGTGGAGTTTCTTTTGGTTCTAAAAAATATATTCATTTTTAGGGTGCAAGTCTCTTCTACATGAAGCAGTATATTCAGTTATATTAAAAAGAAAGAAGTATTCATTATACCTAGCATAGAAAGAAAGTCTAATAAGCCCCTAAACTTTACCCTGCTTTTCTAAAGAGCCCTAATATTTTTATTTCACTCTATTAAGCCCCGAAAGTTTATATTTCATTCTATATGATAGTCCAACTATAGAAGGCTATAATGATCTTATTGAATTTCTTTGGAGGGAAGAAAATTCTCATTCCCGCCATCTTTAGAAGGATATAATTTCATATAACTAAATAGACATTTAAATTAGTAGAAGGAAAAATTTTACTAATCCTTCCTCAATGTTTGACTAAAGAAAAAAAAAACTCACCAAACTTCTTATGCACATGTTGTTTCTTTTCTAATCTCAATCTTTTTGCTACATTCTTGTATCTTGATGATGTTTACATCACAATGCTTGGATTTTTCATGTACACCCCGTACTTGCATAGTGGCTGGTAAAGAATTACAAAGCTGAACAAAAAGCATATAGATCAAGGCTCAAACTATTAAGTCTTGTCATGTGATTCTTTTCACAATATTACAATTCTACCCTAGTTGAAATAGTATTCTAGGCAATGTTTTAAATAGCGGTTGCCTAGCCTGCTTAGACGTCCCTCCTAAGTCTAAGCTGTACCTAGGCCGGCGGCCTAGGTCTTAGGAGCGCCTAGAGGAGTGTGGGCTGTTTATCAGATTGCGCCCTTAGGTCTTAGTCATGATTTTTCTTGTTGCAGCCTCTATGTCCTTCAACCTCCTCCGAACACCTCCGGCCTTGTACACTACTTGTGAACATCTCTTCTACCTCCTTCAACCTTCAGGAAACCTCCTCCACCACCACTTGAACAAAGAAAGAAATTCACATAGGTGCCTAGAGCTAGGTGTAAGTCCGGTGCCTATCAATGCCTAGGGCTTTCTATAATATTGGCATTTGTATCAAGTATTGCAACTAAAAAAAAGGAAAGCCACCAAGGCCTCACTTGGGATTCTCGTAGAGCCTATGACCCTGGTTCTAGGTGGTGTTTGAGGCTGAAAACCATGAAGGGTTAAATAGAATAACAGGAAAAACTTTAGGGGCTTAATACATTGAAATAACAGTTTAAGGGATTTTTAGAGAAGTTCGGTGAAGTATAGGGGCTTGTGAGACCTTGAGCTCCCTAGCATGACAAACTATTTGTAGCACTGCAGACAAACAGTTCATACTTGTTAAGTCTTGATAAATAACATAGTTGATGTGGAGGCAATCACTGATGATTTTTGGGAGAAATCGGATCGTGCAAAGCCCAAAACCATCTCTTCTATATATAGCATGTGGTATTGTTATCCCCTCTTCATCTCTTCTGTATATAGCATGGGTTATTGTTATCCCATCTTCAGTTCCAACAAAACATGCTAAATTCTCACCATGTCAAAGACCCAGGACCATGGATAGCATGCTTACTTGTTGGGAGTTTGGCAAGGCCCAGACAGGAGGTTTGCGTAAGGATGGGACTAGTAATAGGGCTGAAACCCATCTTGAACCTGAAGGGAGATCTTAATGGAGCTGCACCTATTTTTATCTATATATCAACATTACATACTCAATTCTGGACCGCATCGTGCATTATTTTCTAGTTAACTGAACTCATAAGTTCATGCGGGCTGGTCCCCTTTCCTGAACTTGACTGGACTTAGGCAGCATCACATATTCTCACTGGACTCCCCATTTTACATAATAGCCTATTACAAATGTGATTTTATTTCTCTCTGGCTTGTCCCTGTTGCTGACGGATGAATCTGATTATCATCACAAATCTTATCACCTTACCTATTCTTATGTACTCTTTTCAGGTCCTGGCAAATTTGTTAGGTTTCTTCATTCTGCACTGTCTTTAACTCTCTTTTCGCTTAGATTTCATCGAACCGACACTTAAAGTTCTCTTGTAGGTCCTCTCTTTTCTACAGTTGTCCTGGCAGTTGAGAATTGGTTGTTAACTAGGGTAGTGTTTTATAACGTGTTCTCAACTTCCAAAAGAAATTTGTTAACTGGCCTTGGCCCTGAAACTCCCAAAGTTACAACTGAGCCACTTTACCACAGAGCCTAGCCTAGACTTGTAGATCCAAAGTAAACTTCCAAAAGAGATTACTTAGCAGACTGCGGACATGTTTTACATCTGTCCACCTACATAGTGCAATCAAACATCTTGAGGGCCGAGACCCTTCAGCTATCATTTTGTATGTTACGCCAGAAGCAGTCTTCACTGGTTGCCTCTCTATCTATAGACTTATAAGAGACTAGCTTCTGTATTGGAGCAAATACGATGGTAACTCTCGAAATCTAGGTTCATAAACCTTCAGAGAGTTTGTTGTTGCCATAAATAATTGTAAGACTATGTGAGTCTTCAAGAGAGAATGTGGTACACTGTAGCAGCATGGTTACATGAAGAAGATTACTCTGCTCATTTCTTCTTGATACTCTGATATCCTTATCCCTCTTTTTTGCGCAAAAATGGCGAATTATGTCACTTAAAGAAGCTTTTTTTTTGCCCCATCATTTATTGCAACAAAACCCACATCTTCTGCAACTACATCAGGCGACTTCTTGCGAAAGTCATTTGAGAAAAGAGCTGCCTTCTGTTCAGGTTGAACCCAGTTCAACCAGCCACCCAGGTCCTTTTTTTACGACAGTCTTCTTCATCCTAAATTGTATCTTTTTCTAATCAGCATTTTAATTATGTAATGAGCCTCAATGAGATGGTATGAATTGACATTACTTGTTTGACTTTCTAATGAGAAATGCTAAATTTATAATTTCGGCAACACCACATATCCTCTGTCCTCCCCATTTAGCATAATAGCCTATTAAAAATGCGACTTTATTTCTCTAGATCTCTGATCAATCCAATTCTTATCACAGAATTCATGTTACTGGGTCGACTTTCTAATGAGATTAATGCTATAGTTATTAGTTATCATTTAGGCTGCATAACTTACCCTCACTTTCCTTCACATTTTACAGAATTGCCCATTACAAATGTGATTTTTTATCTATTTGGCTTATTCCTATTGCTCACAGATGAATCTGATTATTATCAAATTACCTATTTTTAGATACTCTTTTCTGGTCTTACAACATTCGTAGGGTTTCTCCATTTTCCCATGGTATTAAACTCTCTTAGACTACCTGCAGCAGGTAGGGATTGGGGGGATATTTGGGTGCAACAGGTAGGGAAAAGGAAAGAGAATTGGAAACAGAGGGGAGAGAAAGGGAAAATTTCCCTATGGGTTTTTCTGCAGCGTGGGGCCCACAGAGGCTGCCACAATTTAAAAAAAAATTAGAAAAACGCGCGGCCAATCAGACCATGACGCGTGTCGGGCTTGTGCTGGCATCAGCCATGCACGCTGCCACGCGTCATGGTCTGATTGGCCGGCATTTTTTGGTTTCTTCTTAATTTTTAAATGCAATTTTGGGAGATAATTACTATGAATTAATTTTTAATTTTTATACCATTATTTTTTATTTTTCAAACTCTATAAATAGAGACTAACTTTGTGTTATTTGGACACCAAAAAAAATTTGAGTTTTCTACACCCTATTCTCCTTCTTTTTTGCTTTTTGAAACTAGTTTTTTCATACTTCTTCTTCATGGATCCTTCACAAAACTATCCTAATTTTTCCTACAACTACAACTTTCCTAACCAACCTCAAAATACCCTCCCTCAACCACAACATCCAAATATGCAACGCCCCGAAAATACTCAAAATACGGGGATGCAGCCCAATTTTCAAATGCCCTATATGATGCAACCGAATTTCGGCATGCAATACCCTTATCTTCCTTACGGTTATCCTCCAGTTCCGGGAAGCAGCTATGTTCACTCTCATATGAATTGTCCTAACACGGAGTCGAGTGACCCAGCGACACCCCGGTTTAGTAGCGGGTCTACAGATATCCCAGAATTTTTCACTCAAATGTCTTTGGGAAATATTGGTGGGGATACTCCCCACAGTTTTCTACCTCCAACCCAACAATCAGCAAAGAGATCAAGTTATGATATTGGTGGGGATACTCCCCACAGTTTTCTACCTCCAACCCAACAATCAGCAAAGAGATCAAGTTATGATAGTTGGACCACCGAAGACAACATACTTTTACTAACTGGTTATTTTCACGTTAGTAATGATAGTGAGTTGGGAAACAACCAAAAGGGTGAAACTTTCTGGGGTAAAATTACACAGTACGTTAATGAGAACGCCAAAAGTGGAAAAGAGAGAACCGCGGCTAAGTGCCAGAGTCATTTCAAAGACATCAACAAAAAGATATCCAGTTTCATTGGCTGCTACAGTACTGTATGTAGGGAGAACCGTAGCGGTTGGTCCGATGAAAACTACATATCCAAGGCAAGAGAGTTGTACTTTGAGAAAATGGGTATGACGTTTAATTTGGTGGATGAGTGGAAGGTGGTTCGTAATCAACCCAAATATATGACAGGAGGAAATGCATCGGGTAGTAGTGGCTCTAAAAGAAAGAGTAGTGGTGAGGATGTTGAATCATCAACTCCTACCCTTGTACGTCCAGAGGGTAGGGACGTGGCAAAGAAGAAAGCTAGAGCTTCCTCTAGTAAAACATCTGTTTCAAGGAAATCGAAGGGGGCAATTGAGGAGGACTTATCTAAAAGCTAGTTAGTGCTCATGAAAAATTTGAAGAGAAAAGATCAAGTACTGCTTCAGCTATGAATGCCCTGGCTCATTCCAAGAATATGGAGATGTGGTTATTCTTGAAAAACAAACCAGATCGTGACGATGAAGATGATGAAGCTTATAATATGTTGAGGAAGAACCTGTTTGGAAAATAAGACCTTCTCAAGAAGTTATGCTTGTGTGTTTTCTTTCTGAAGTTTTTGTGTGCCGTTTGTTTAATTTTGGAGTTGTGTGGGTGCCTATGTTTGTTGAATGTATTAATAAAATTGTTGTTTATGTTTGAATAAAATTGTTGTTTATGTTTGAATAAAATATCTGTTTATGTTTCATTAAATAGCATTGATAATGACTTCTCACTGCATAATAGTACAAAAGATACAATTACTACTCACTGCAAAAACAAACAAATGTTGAATTGATTTTTCACTGCAAAAAAATACAAAAGATGAAATGACTACACCTACATAATAATACAAAATATGAATTGACAACTCTCTGCAGATGCATGCCCTATGACACGTCTCTAATATTGCATGCCCTACAACACATGTCCCTGCAATTGCATGTGAATTCAATTATTTGAACAACTACCCTTCATTATATAAACTGATCAGATGCACATCATAAGTATACCTATCAACATTTCAAAAATCATATCATCTAATGGATCCTTTCCTAAATGAGTTTAGTCTAGAAGAGTTCCAACAACAATGGGAAATAGAAGAGAAAATACTTGATAGGCAGCGAGAACTTCTTGAAGAATTGCAAAGGAGAAGCGAACAACCACGTAAGAGGAAATCCATACATAGAGATCATCATGCAGCGCATGAGAGACTCATGGCCGACTACTTTGCCGAGTCATGCACTTACACTGACGCCCAGTTCCGACGCAGGTATCGAATGAAAAGGCCTCTCTTTCTACGAATTGTGGACTTTATATCAAATTACGACGATTATTTCACACAACGGCGCAATAATGCGGGCAAGCTTGGGTTAACGCCTATCCAGAAGTGTACGGCTGCCATACGCATGCTCGCATATGGAGTCGCAGCCGATGCTTGTGATGAGTACGTCAAGATAGGAGAATCCACTGCTATCGAGTGTACTCGCAAGTTTTGCGAAGGGGTAATAGCATTGTTTCAAGATGAATACTTACGACGACCAAATGTGGAAGACTTGCAGAGGTTGCTCCAAGTTGGACAGGAACGTGGATTCCCAGGGATGATTGGAAGTATTGATTGCATGCACTGGCAGTGGAAAAATTGTCCTAAGGCTTGGCAAGGGCAGTTTACTAGTGGACACAAGGGGACGGCAACAGTTATCCTCGAGGCAGTTGCGTCATATGATTTGTGGATATGGCATGCTTTTTTTGGGCTTCCTGGTAGTTTGAATGACATAAATGTACTAGATAGGTCACCGGTTTTCCACGACATTGAGTCGGGTGAAGCTCCAAGGGTAAACTTCACCGTGAATGGGAGGGAGTACAATCTTGCATACTATCTTGCCGACGGAATCTACCCTAAGTGGCCTGTCTTCGTGCAGTCAATTCAAATGCCCCAAGGCAACAAACATCAATTTTTTGCCAAACAACAGGAATCATGCAGGAAGGACGTGGAACGCGCATTCGGGGTACTCCAAGCACGCTTCGCTATTGTCCGCCAACCAGCTAGAATGTGGGATCTTGATGTCTTAGGAAAAATAATGAGGGCGTGCATTATTTTACATAACATGATAGTAGAGGATGAACGAGATACGTATTCGCGAAACTGGGAAAATATCGACTTTGAACCGTCGAACAATGCTAGCTCTAGCGCCTCTTTCAATGTTCAAACAGACGTGTTGCCGGAGTTTCAAGTCCATGTTCAACACCGATCTGAGGCAGATAATCAGACTAGAGCGGAACTACGAGATAAGACCCAACATATTCAGCTGAAGAAGGATCTCATCGAGCACATTTGGCAGAAATTTGGAATAACCTCCGATTAGATTTACCAATTTAGTGTGTGTTTTCTTTAATGTTTTTAATAATTTGGGTGTGTTTGGTTTTCCGTATGCTTAATAAAATCGTGTGTTATTTTATGTTAATTTAAAAATATTATTGAAAATTAAATTAATAATATATTTAAATATTATATATTATTTATTGATTTATTAATAAATTATAATTATAAATATATGAGTTATACTAATAATAATAATAATAGTAATATATATGAAATAGGAAAAAGAATGAATAAATATGGTGGGGTATATGTTGAAGTGATGTGGTTATGATGGGTCCCAAAAAAAAGTAAAAAACTTTCTGAAAAACTAGCTGCTGCAGAGTTAATAGGGAAATGAAGATTATTGAATTAAATAAAGTGATGTGGCAGGAGAGAAGGAGGTGAAATTTCACCTCCTGCTGGAGATGGTCTTATTGGCTTTATTTTTCAACCATCTAACCAGCAATCAATGTTATGATTGGCTCCTCTCTTTTGTACAGTTGTCCTGACAAGTTTAGAATTGGTTAAAAGCTAGACTAGTGTTCTAAAGTCTATCAAGTGTTGGGATCTAGAGCACGCGCTAGAACGGGGGGGGGGGGTTAAAATAGGATGCCACTCGTTTAAAAATAAAATATCAGAGAGTTGCATTTATATTTTAAAAGCTAGAGCTACTCTCCTTTATATAGGAATAACAAGAAGCTTATTGCCTAGTCAATGTGGGACTAAACTCAATTACCTAATCACAATTATTCTCTTAGTTATATTCCTAATATCTCTCAATCACCAATCTCTAATTTATACTCCTAATATATCATTCCTAATATAACTATAACATTACAAATCTCCATAATATATTCCTTAGCACTCTCTCTCTGGCTGGAACATGTATATCATACATGTCCGGCTTGTTACAATCAATATATACTCACTCCAATTTGTGACATGATTTAAAATGCTAAATCTTCCATGTGAGATTTCTTATTGTAGTTGTGTTCATCTTCTAGTCCTCTACTTGAATGTCTTCCACCACGAACAACCTCAGTCAAAATCACCAAACGCGATGCCTCGATTTTTCATAGATCAACCAGGGAACTACCGAACAAACGATCCACACTAATGACCCACTAAGCAAACAATCCTCTCTAGGGATCCACCAAATAAACGATCCTCTTCACGAATTAACCAAACAAATGATTCTCGTCATGGATCAACCAAACAAATGATCCTCTCTAGGGATCAACCAAACGAACAATCCTCTTCACGGATCAACCAAACAAACGATCCTCTCTAGGGATCAACCAAACAAATGATCCTCTTCACGGATCAATCAAACAAATGATCCTCTTCGGGATCTAACAAACAAATGATCATTCTTTAGGGATCTGCTAAACAAATTACCCCTTTTTAGGGGTAAACCAAACAAATGAAGTCGAGAAAATAACCTTCATCGAACCAAATCCGGATTCAATCAAAATCGTTTTTTCCCGGTAGCTAATGGTGGTCAAAGTTTTCTAGAATATAAGCGGTGGTGGCAGACTGGCAGTGGTGTCGATAAGTTGAGCACGTTGTGAACGAAGGGAAATTGAGGCTGCACAGGCGGTGATGAGAACATATACATCGAGCATTACTACTACTACTAATGGCAATTTTGATCATCAACAATGCTATCGAAAGCAGGACGGACAAGAATCTCCGACACTATTCACGGTGAAGAGGCATCCCACACTATTCACGGTGAACAGTCACCACGTATTCTTTACGATAAACAGTCACCACGCCCTGTTTCCGGTAACTAGTTATAGGAAAGAAGGGAGGTTATATGGCAAAGAGAAAAGTTTATTGGTGAGAGATTGAAGCGCTAAAGTTTGTGAGGACCTAGGGTTTTGTGGAGGCTAGAGTTTGCGTAATTGTTCATATTTTAAAAGTTACAACTACTCGTTATATAGGGATGCAATAACAAGAAGTTTATAATGTAGCCAATGTTGGACTAAAAAAATTACTTAATTACAATTATTCTTTTAGTTGTATTCTTAATATCTCTCAATTAACAATCTCTAATTTATACTCCTGATATATTATTCATAATATAACTATAACATTATATATCTCCATAATATATTCCTTTAACACTACTATTTTTCGAAATATCACATATACTGTAGCAAAAAATAAAAACATAGGAAAATGATAAGACAATGCAATAAACTCAAAAACAATAAAACCAGAATGCACAAGATTTTAAAGTGGTTCAGCTAAATAATCCTACATTCAATCTTCCTCCTTGCGAATGAGCTTCCTCACTATATGAAAAATCTCCTAAATTATAAACCTGATTTAGTAGGCTTACAAAGCCAAAATTCTAGTTTCCCCTAAACTATTTCTCTAACTTAATTCTCATAGTGAATAGCCCATGCCCCAACTAATCACTAAATCCTCAATTCAAAACCCCGATCGACTTTAGTTTGTCGCCAACAATCACACAACTAATCAAACGATCATAGAAACAATTTTAAAATTGTCAATATTGTTAAATGCAACACAAAAAGTCTTACAGCCCTTTAATTTTGCGAAACGTTCTCCAAAAATTAGAAGGAAAGCTCGATGAAGAACGACGATGAAAGATCTGATCTAGGGCAACATTTATTAATGGATGGTGATCAGATGATGAGGAACACTATGATCTAAGAAGCTCTGGGGAGGTGGAGATGAGATGCTCTTCAACAATTATCAAACCTCGCGCAGTGTACCTTTTTTCTATCTCATTTAGGTCAAGAACGTCTATGAAAAATGAAAGAGAGAGTCCTTATGACCAACTGCAACGAACTGCTGAGATTAAAACTTGAAACATGAGATTTGGCTCTAGTCCCATAGATAAGATGTGTATGCTCACTGATGGATATACATTCTGGTCATGACAAAAAAGTCTCTGAATTTTTTTCTAATCGATGAAGAGTTACAATCAATGACCCTGGTGGCGAGGATACTGATCGATATGCCTAGAAGTACACTCATCGATGCAAGGATACTCATCGATGAGTACCTTTGTTGAAATTCTTGTTAAGCTGATTCTCACTCCTTTTGGTCTCAATCTCGATTCTAACTTGTTGTAACATGCACAAAACATCTCAAACACATATTAGACCCAAATGAATGTTGTTCTTCAAACTAAGGCAATTGTACAGACGCGGTCCTAACATAATGTTCTTTATCAGCTTTGATTATGTTGTACGTATAATAGATATTAGGGAAAAATGTATCTAGGCCCCAAAAAAATAAATTGGATGTGGCCCAACCCCCCGTATTTTTTTGTGTGTGCCTAAGCCCCCAATACATAAAATAATGATGTTTCAGCCCTTTTTTTCATTTCCCAGACAGCACATGGAGCAATGTATTTTGAAAACCCAAAACTGCCCTCTCTCTCTCTCTCTCTCTCTCTTCTCACTTCTCACCACCGCCATGAAGCTGAGGTTGAGGGCTTGCGAGCTCTGTGACAGCGATGCGGCGCTCTACTGCCCCTCCGACTCCGCCTTCCTCTGTTGGGCATGCGACCGCCGAGTCCACTCCGCCAACCTCCTCGTCTCCCGCCACCTCTTTTGCTGGATAAACTGCTTTGATGGAGAGGGATGACCGGTCGTGCCTGGGGCTGCTGCACGTGAAGTGCGTGGCTCTGTCTCATCTGAATCCAATCCGCGTTTAATTTTGAGAGAGAGAGAGAGAGACGAATTCCCCCTTATCGTTCCCTCCACCATTAATTTTCAGAGAGAAGAGAAAATGACATTTTGTTAATCTCGAGGACTTTCCTATGTTCAAAAAACAGGTTATTTTCTCTAATTTCTTCCTTTTTCTTCAACTTTTTTTCCTGTTTTGAGCTGAGATCTCAATTAGGTTTCCGCTTTTGTTGGTATGTAATGGATTTAGAATTTAAAGGCCTGAGCTTGCAATTGAAATTGGGGCTAATCTGTAGTGCAGCTTGCAATTGAATTGAAAATTTTAGATTTTTGGGCGAAATTAACGTCTTAAGATGAAAAATTGAATTCTGGTTGTATGTAATTTCAAACGTTACCAAAATGAAAATCAGCTTTTGAAACTAAAATCTATTCTTGCAATTTTTTGTTTATTTTTCTTCTTTTAATGAATCGAATTCTTTTGATCCATTTGACTGTAGCCTGCCTAGCAAATTTAAGAGAACTTAATAGTCTTCTGCTATGAAAAGATTATTTTGAAATCCGAATTGCTTTTGGGTTGAGAATATGAAGTTCAATTGCTATCCAATTTGGTCAGTACTAAACTCTAAGCATATGCAAATAATGAGTATTATAATTTGCATGTGGCAACTTTGTTCAGTAAAAAATGATGCCTCTAGTGCAGAAGGGCATCCACAAAGTTATTCACTTTGTCAAGAAAATCACGATGGAGTTAATGAAATGACATGAAATGACAGATGAGAGTTAACATGCTCATGTGAAAGTTAACATGTTCAGGTTAAAGCCAACATTTTCAGCTAACATATATACCAGTGGATGTAGTTCGATCTGTTTGGCACCGTAAGGCAGAGCTACCCATCTGGGTTCTACCTGCAAACCATGTAATTAACGCAATGATTATTTCGAAACCCTAGACATGGACCTCTCTCTTGCAAACCATTTATGCATTTATGTATTAGAGTCCTGGACCCAACAAGATGACTTTGCCAACATTTATACTGTCATTCAGTTTCAAACATTGCTTTTATTTTGAGCCTGCAATTTACACTTGTATAATTGCTCTTTTGGTTGCATTCAGTTTCAAACAGATGCAAGCCTCTTTTTTCATGTTGTGCTTCTCATGTTAGCAATAATCAACATGGTGGCCGTCGACCAAGAGTGAGATTTATTCAATTATCGATTGCCCATGACTCAATGATTTAGAGTGGGGGCGCAAAATGACAGATCAAGAATGCTTGTCGCCTGCTGTTGCGATACCTTAGTTTCCTTCTCTTGTCTCTCCATTTGAGATTTGTTTCTGACCTTAAAGAAAAGCCCTCAAAGATGTTATAGATGAATAAATACATGTACATCTGACAAGTTAACATGTACATCTGACAAGTTAACATATTATGATGAACGTTAACATGTTTAGTTAAAAGCTAACATGCTCTGAAGAAAGTTAACAAATTAAGGTGAAAGTTAACATGTAATAGTGAATGTTAACGTATTATGATGAAAGTTAACATGTTCACCTGACAGTTAACATGTTATGAAGAAAGTTAACATATTATAGTGAAAGTTAATATGTAACAGGTGAAACTCTCCATTCTGAAGAAGGTTAACATATTATCGTTTGTTATACATGTGGGTGGGCTGCTTCTTACAACAATACTTTTGTCATAGAAATATAGGTCGTCCATAATTTTATAGTATATTGTGGAAGACCTTTGTAATCTGTGAAGCTGTAAGACTAATCATATTATGTATTCAAGCAATATCAGTTGTAAGAATGTAAGAAATTTTGTGTAATGTACTTGTTTAGTTGAGGTATACTGTTTTTGCTTCCCGCTAACTCTCAGCTAACTTTAGCTAACTTTTAAGTTTAGATGCATCATAGGTAAATATAATGATTAAGCAAATAAATCACTTACTTCGGCTATTTGAGAAGAAACAACTATCAAATGAAGTTAGACTCAATATAACAAAATTCAGAAACAATATCTCGAGTTAACATAAAGCAGTGGAAATTAACAGGTTTGGATGAAAGTTAACATATTCAGCTGATAGTTAGCATGCAGAGATAAAATATAACATGTTCGTAAGAAAGTTAACATATGTTGATGAAAGTTAACATATAAAGATGATAGTTAACATGTTGATGTTTCATATTTAGCTCCTTCATTTCTTTTGAAATTGGGATAATTTTGGGCGCTTGAAGCTTGAAGCTTCACCCGTGCTTACTTTGATCACTTGAAGCTTCACAATTAATTATTGTTTCCCCCTTGTTTCCTTGTGCAGGCTGGTTTTCTTAGAAAGAAATCCATCCGATAGAAAAGCACACATTAGCTTTATTTTTCAATGGAAAGTCTGAGAGTAGAACTCCTGAAATATACATGGAAGTAAGAAACTCAATCATGAGGATGCCCGACTCTGGACCAGTGGATCAATATCAGGCAATTTTGGAATCTGTACACAAAATCATACCCACATATAGAGATTTTATTTTTTTTATTGTTCTATAGGATGAAAGGTAACCGTGGAGGAAAGAGAACCGTGGTTTGATTGTACTTAGATCAAAATTTAATGAAATGTATTGTGTCTATTTAGTGACCAATTTTGGTGTAATTTATTACGATTGTATGTGAAATGTATTGTGGATGTCATGTGAATATATACACATAATCTTGAGGTTATTGTGTACATAATGTATATAGATTATGTACATATTATGATGAAAGTTAACATGTAACAGTGAAAATTAACATATTGTGATGAAAGTTAACATGTTCAGCTAAAAGTTAACACGTTACGAGGAGAGTTAACATATAATGATGAAAGTTAACATGCAACAATGAAAGTTAACATATTATGAGATTTAATGGTGTATCGTAACTTGAAGATGATGTACATAATATGTCAATATATTATGTACACAATAACCTCCAGATTATATACATATTATGTACCATAATATTCAGGTTTTGATACACATAATTTATATACAATCTTTAGTTTATTATGCACATCAAGTTCTATTTGAATGAACTTGTACATATTCACATGACAGCCGCAATATATTTCACATACAATCAAAATAAATTACACCAAAATTGATCACTAAATAGACACAATACATTTCATTAAAATTTGATCCAAGTACAACCAAACCACAAGAACACATAGTAATCAACTGAACAATAAAATATGACACGTTACAAGCAATTCTGGAGAAACTACACAAGAATAAAGAGTACAAACAGTCCTATTATAAAAATTAACATCTTCTTCCTTCTGAATCAGACCACACCAATTCTCAAGCAAGACTGATGCATCAGCCAATTCCTTAACTGGCAAAGCCTCCTCATCATTCAACATTTCGAGCACCTTCTCTGCATATGCAGGTCATCATCTTCTTCTTTCTGAATCAGACTACACCAATTTCTCAAGTAAGACTGATGCGTCAGCCAATTCCTTAACCGACAAAGCCTCCTCATTATTCACCATAACAAGAGAGCACCAAATCCGCACAAATCGTATCAATTCCAATTTCAGCATCACCCATTCTCCCAATCCCCCTCCTCATCTCCTTAAACGACCCTAACCGTCCATACCCTTGAATCACCACTCTATACTCAAACCCCGATGGCTTAAACCCCAAGTGACCCATTTCATCAAGCACCTTCTTTGCATCCTCAACCATACCCACCAAGCTCAATCCTCTGATCATACACTCAAACACCCTTTTCCCAACAAAACTCGTATTTTTAGTCCAACCACAACATTTCAAAATAAATTCTTTCAATCCTCTACCTGACGCGGCAACAACGAGGTCACAAGTAGAGGGCGGCTCTAAATAGGAGACGATGGTGGAGCGTTGGCCGGTGATTGAGAGGGGGATGGCGAAGGAGCGGGTGACATTGGAGAGGGTCTGGTCAAAGTAGAGGGCGGCGATGGAGGACCACCACTAGGAGAGGGAGGGGGAGGGGAAGATGATTAAGAGGAGGAGGAGAAAACCACAGAGAAGAAGAAGAAGAAGAAGAAGATAAGGGAAGGAGTATTTTCGGAATGTTTTGGGATGTATTCATTGGAGAGTGTGAAAAGGGGGCTGAACACATTTTTTGGGATTTTAAGGGTTAAAGAACAAGGAAAAAAGATGGGGGGTTTGGACCACATCCCCTTTATTATTTTGGGGCCTAGACACAATTTTCCCTAGATATTATTTTCGTAGAGAACGGAGGTATGCATGATAGCACTGAGGCGAGCCTTTTAATCATTATGGATGGACGTGATTCCATGTGATATTTCAAACCTTACAAGAAAAAACCCTCAAAACTTTCAAAAATTGTAAAAACACACTAAAAATTCAAAACATACAAAAAAACATTGAAAATTTCAAACCTTACAAGAAGCGCGTTAAAAAATTTTGAATTTATAGAAGACACCCTAAAGTTTTGAAAATACAAAAAATACACTTAAAAATCAAATTAAAAAAATTGAGTATCTCAAATCTAAAACATAACAATGAAAATCAGGGAAATACAAACTCTACCCCAAAAGTTTTGGAATGTATAAAAAACACCTTAAAACTTTAAAAACTTTCAAAAAACACCATAAAATTCTAAATTTACAAAAAGTTGAAAAAATTCAAACATAAAACAATAAGCTGAACAATCAAAGGATTACAAACAAGACCCTTGCAAAGTTTCAATTTTGTAAACAATACTCAAAAACTTTTAAATTTTGACAATAAACACCCTTAAAATTTTAAAACTCGTAGAAAAAGCTTGAAATTTCAAACGTGAAACAGAACACAGAAAATTTATGAATAAAAAACAGCCGCTTGAAAATTTTAAGATATATGGAAAGCACCCTAAACTTTCAAAGTTGCAATAGACACCTTCAAAAGTTTAAAAATTACAACAAATTATGTAGATATTTCAAACTTACAAATAGTACACAAAAAATATTTAAATTAGAATTAGACCCCTAAAAGTTTTGGGATTTGCATAAGACACCCTAAAACTTGTAAAAACTTACAAAATATGCACTCAAAAATTCAAAATTTGTAAAAAGAATTATAAATAGTTTCTATAAGTTTTTGATTTGCACATGACACCCAAAAACTTCAAAAGTTTCAGAAAATCCCTAAAAAATGCAAAATTTTCTAGAAACTCCTTAAATTTTTAATTTACAAATAGTAACTTGAAAATTAATAATCTAGGATTATAAGCAGCCCCTTAAAATATTTAAAATTTGTAAAAAATACCTCAAACTTTTAAAGTTGCAATAATACCATCAAAAATTCAAAATTCACAACAAACTATTTTAACATCTCAAACCTACAAATAGTACACTAAAAATATTGAAATTATAAATAGCTCCCTAAAAGTTTTATGATTTTTATAAAACACACTAAAACTTTAAAACATCAAACCAAAACGAGCACACTATCTAAGAATTGCAAATAAGCCCTTGCAAGTTTTTTATTTGTAAAAAACACCTTAAAACTTTCAAAAGTTGCAGAAAACCCTAAAATGAAAAATTTTCTCGAAACTCCCTGAAAATTTTTAACCTACAAATAGTAAATTGAAAATCTGTGATTACAAATAGCACCTTGAAAATTTTGGATTTTGCAAACAAACCTAAAACTTTCAAAAGTTTTAAAAAAACTCCTTAAATTTTTTTAACTTTTGCATGAAACACCTTGAAACGATAAAAAGATACAAAGAGGTCTTTTTATAATTTCAAGGCACGTCTTTCTACCAGGCTGAGGCAAAAGACCCTTCCCGCCAGGCAGAGACAGGTGTCCCTTCTTGTCAGGTCGAGACAGTCGTCCCTTCTTACCACGCTAAGTCATCCTTTCCCTTCAGGTCGATTCGTCCCTTCCCGTCAGGCTGAGGCAAAAGTCCCTTCTCACCAGGCTAAGACAGACATCCCTCGTTGCCAAGTCGACTCGTCTCTTCCCGTCAGGCTGAGGCAGGAGCCCCTTCTCACCAGGCTAAAACAGACATCCCTCCTTGCTAGGTCGACTCGTCCCTTCTCTCCAGGCTGAGTCAAAAGGCATCCTTTCTCTCCCTTCTTATTAGGAGCAATCCCTCCTCTCATGGTTGACTCGTCCCTTCCCTCCAGGCAGAGGCAGATGTCCCTTCCTAGCTAGGCTGAGGCAAGAGTCCCTTTTAGCCTAGGCAATCAAGGACTTCTGCCCAAGATTAAATAAAGAGTAAGGCTAAAGAACCAGTAGGTTTGTCATGGAATGTAAAACATTTCAGAGGATACCTCCCCAAAATGTAGTCAAATTAAGACACATAAATAAGAGATATCTTTGTGATGTGTGTTAACCTATATGCAGTCTTAGCCACACGATCTTCATTAATTCAACGATAGAAACGAAAGACCTAGGCATCATTTTCATGGATAAGCCCAAGGCACGTACCAAAGACCTTGGTGTTAGCCCTTATGTTTTGATGATATTTTACAACCACCATTATCGGTATTAATTGCTTGTTGAATGATATTATAGTTAAAATATATATTAAGCTTGTTAGTACCTCAAATGGAGGATTGGATGGAATATGAGCTACAACGATGATATCCAAAGTAGGAGGAGGCATAGTGATGAAGCAAATGTTAATCAAGAACAACACATACAAGTCAAAGCTTCATCAACTCAAAGCTATATTAAGACTCAAAGAATTGTAATTCTATGTGAGGATATTAGCTAGTTTTTTTTTCTCTCTAGTGCTAGAATGTAGGTAAGTAGTTGTAGATTTTACTTGAAGCTATTGAGATATCACACATGTAACGCCCCTCCTCTGGGAGGTACATAAAAATTTGAGCATGACCTATCTGTAATAAGAAGGGTCGACCTGCTAAATCTTTATGCACATCACAACATAGATATACTGAAGGGCGAAAAGTAAAGCAGTAGAGAGGCATATGCAATACCCAAGATCACGAGGTTGACAGCAGAGTCCATTGAATACCAAAATAGAAGAGAACTAAAGGGTAATACAAAATATTACAATAATAGCAGTGGCTACAACATTAATACATGTTTTATAAGTCAAAGGTACTGCAAAAGTGAACATAAATTAACCCCTATTAAGATTTTCCTCTGGAGCTAATCTTCAAATTCAGGGTCTGCAATGCCCTTATCCTTGCCAGTTGTATAACCTGCGAGTGGATTCAGAAACAATAGGGGTGAGCCTAAGGCCCAATAGGTAACCATAAAAATCTCGGGTACAATCCAAGGGAACGAATGAAAATGATAGACATAGATATCAAACTTGAACAACGGGGTCTCAACATTAAGTTGCCATTCTTATATCGTAATCATTGACCGAAGTGAAATAACATGTAAAGATGAATAATCAAGGTCTAATATTCAGGATTCCAAACTCCCCAATCATGGGATAATCAATAAACCGCGCATGCTTTTATACACCCACCGGTGAGCATCCTCACACAGGGCATTGTCCCACTAGGACACTATAACATTACCACCCACCGGTGAAGCTTACTTCACACAGGGCATAATCCATGAATATAGACAATCAATCATCAACGAAGAGAGGAATACTATCATTATCAATAGTTGAACCATCGAATCAATTTGAATTGTTGCAATGAAATCATTCAAGGACATCGAAGGTATAAAACTGAAATAAACAACATTAGGATAGCAATGATTAACCAATCAACAACGAGCCCATGCATGAGGTGAATCAAATAGGAATATTATGAAAATGATAAGATATACAATTAGCATGAGAAACTAACTCGTAGGAATTTCAAGAAAGTAATCAATCGAACTCTCAAAGACTTGAGAGGAAACAATGAAAGGTTACCTACCGATTATGTCGGGATCCTCTCGGCCAACGAATGAATCCAAGATTCTCTGTCCTATATATACATGTATACCCACATGAGATTCTAGACACTATGTCTTTTAAAACTTTAACTTAAAACTTATATCATGGTATAAGCTACACCCTAGATGATTGCATCTAATATCTCTAATATGCACAGCAACCTAAGTAGTGTACATGCAGCAGATTTAGGTGAATAGATGGTACAGCAATTGATGTCTAGAATGCATGAAACTAGTCCCAAATGACTCCATTATGAGTCTAATTTCAGAATATAAAACTTTTACATCAATGCATGGTGTATAGTAAGAGTCATGCTCTCAGAAAACTACACCTATCAAAACTGTAGCAGAAAAACAGAGATCATCATTTGGGATGAATAATTTATTTCGGGTACTTACCTATATCCCAAAGAGCTCATACTTGGTATTTAAGTAATATTATGGATTAGCTTCCATGTCCCATGAGTTTCATCAATTTTGCATTTTTAAAATGCATGTTACATGCAAAACAACACAGGGGGGTAGACTGGAATTTCCAGCACATATGCTAGCTATTAGAACTAGGTTTAGGCCTACCAAACGTTATTAAAATTAATTCAAAACCCTATCAACAGAAATACAATTGAGTCTAGTTTTAGAAATAGAAAGAATTTCATGCATGCATGGTATATGTTGAGATATATGCTCTTTACAAAGGACATGACTCAAGCAGACAGTTTCAGACACATGCACTGAGTTAAACCATACTTTTAAACTAGTAAATGATCTTAGAATTAAACAAACAAGATCTCAAATGAAATCCACGAATATGTAGTTTCTAGAACAGAAAGAATTTCATGCATGCATGGTATATGTTGAGATATATACTCT